ACCCCAGACCCCAGAATATACCTTAAAATAACTCCAGAACCCCAGAATATACCTAAATACCCAGACCCCCAGAATATACCTTAAAATACCAACAGACCGCAGAATATACCTTAAATACCAACAGACCCCCAGAATATACTTTAAATACCCCCAGACCCCCAGAATACCTTAAAATACCCCCAGACCCCAGAATATACCTTAAAATACCCCAGACCCCAGAATATACCTTAAAATACCCCCAGACCCCCAGAATATACCTTAAAATACCCTGAGACCCCCAGAATATACCTTAAAATACCCCCAAACCCCCAGAATATACCTTTTAAAATACCCCCAGACCCCAGAATATACCTAAATACCTCCAGACCCCCTAGAATATAACTTTAAAATACCCATCAGAAAACTTAAAATTCCAGACTTAAAATTCCATCCCAGACCCCAGAATATACCTTAAAATACCCCCCAGACCCCTAGAATATACCTTAAAAATACCCCCAGACCCCCAGAATATACCTTAAAATACCCCAGACCCCCAGAATATACCTTAAAATACCCCAGACCCCCAGAATATACCTAAAATACCCCAGACCCTCAGAATATACCTTAAATACCCCCACCTAGAATATACCCTTAAATACCCCTAGACCCCCAGAATATACCTTAAAATAACCCCAGACCCCTAGAATATACCTTAAAATACCCCAGACCCCAGAATATACCTTAAAATACCCCAGACCCCAGAATATACCTTAAAATAACTTCCAGACCCCAGAATATACCTAAAATACCCCCAGACCCCCAGAATATACCTTAAAATACCCCCAGACCCCTCAGAATATACCCTTAAATACCCCAGACCCCCAGAATATACCTTTAAAATACCCCCAGACCCCAGAATATACCCAAAATACCCCCAGACCCCAGAATATACCTAAAATACCCACAGACCCTGAATATACTTAAAACACCCCAGACCCCAGAATATACCTTAACACCCCCAGAACCCCAGAATATACCTTAAATACCCACATACCCCAGAATATATTTTAAAATACCCACAGACCCCCAGAATATACCTCCAGATACCCCGGTTCACATACCCAGCAGCAAGAGTGGGTGACCTCACGCCTCTACCAGTTGCCACCTTCAAAGTGAGGTGATGGGTGGTTGGCTCACCTTTAGCGGGTCTCACCTGTCTGTATGTGTGTGAATTATGTAGGTGTCGCTGAAGGTGGCCTCACGCCTCCTGGTGGGGGAGTATGTGTAGTGGGTCTTTGTGGGGGTGGTTGAAGGTGGTGGTAGAGTGGTAGAGATAGTGGTTGATGATGATGGTGGACTGGTGGTGGTGGTTAATGATGATGATGGTGGTGGTGATGGTGGTAGTAGTAGTGGTTGATGATGATGGTGGACTGGTGGTGGTGGTTAATGATGATGATGGTGGTGGTGATGGTGGTAGTTATAGTGGTTGATGATGATGGTGGACTGGTGGTGGTGGTTAATGATAGATGGTGGTGGTGATGGTGGTAGTAGTTATAGTGGTTGATGATGATGGTGGACTGGTGGTGGTGGTTAATGATGATGATGGTGGTGGTGGTTGTATTAGTTGTGACCGATCGTTACTTTACAGGTCACAGGTCATTACCACGTCTGCCACAAACACCTTTATTATTACTCATGTTCTTTATATCGAGGTCTCACATTTCACACCCCCTGACCTCTCTGACACCCTCACCCCCTGACCTTTATTGACCACTTCACCTCCTGACCTCTGACCTGTGAACACCTAGTTTTAACAGCAGCTCAGGAATGATTTCAAATATAGCAGGAGTCAGTGTAGCGCCTTGTTTGACGCCATGGTATACTTTGACGGTGTATGTTTGTGTTTGTGTTTATGTCGTTGTCTGTGTCTATATCTATGTCTGTCTGTGTCTGTGTCTATGTCTGTCTGTGTTTATGTCTGTGTCTGTATGTCTATGCTTGTGTTTGTGTCTGTATGTCTATGTCTCTGTATATGTCTATGTCTGTGTCTTATTTCAGAACTGCTAGAGTACAAGAGAGAGAGAGAGATTTTACATATATTTACACCTGCATTTTTACCTGTACTTACACCTACACTTACACCTACACCTACACTTACACCTACACTTACACCTACATCTACATCTCTGCCTACGCCTACACCTACACCTACACCTACATCTGCATCTCTGCCTACACCTACACCTACACTTAAGAACATAAGAACATAAGAATGGAGGAAACTGCAGCGGGCCTATTGGCCCATACCAAGTCCCGTTTACACCCAACCCCTATTGCAGTTCAGCGTATTCGAGTTAATGATGATATTTGGTAACTTGTTCCACTACTTTGTTTCCAAACCAGTGTTGACCTATTTCACGCCTAAATCTAAATTTATCTAATTTAAACCATTGTTACGAGTTCGCTCCTGGTTGATAGTTTGAGTACCTTGTAATGTCCCTTTGTTTAGCCCTGCCTCCACTTGTACACCTCTATCAGGTCGCCCTCGCTCTACGTCTCTCGAGGAGTGCAAATTAAGATGCTTTAACCTGTCTCTATACTCAAGGTTCCTAATGCCCTGGATTAGTCTTGTCATTCTCTGAATTCTTCCAAGGATTCTATATCCATTCTGTAATACGGTGACCAGAACTGAACTGCGTAATCCAGGTGTGGTCTCACAAGAGCAAGATACAGTTTTAGGATGACTCGCTAGTCTTGTAACTTGCACCTACACTTACACTTACACCCACACTTACACTAGACCCACACCCTACACTTACACCCACACCCACACCCCACCCCACCCCACCCACACCCCACCCACACCCCACCCCACACTACCCACACCCCACACCCTCTACCACACCCCACACCCACACCTACACTTACACCCACACCTACACCCCACACTCCCCACACCCACACGCACACCCACACCCACACGCACACCCACACCTACACCCACATCCACACACTTCACACCCACACCCCCACCCACACCACACCCACACCCCACCCACACTTACACCCACACCCCACACACACCCCACACCCCCCACCTACACCTCACACCCACGCTTACACCCACACCCCACACCTCACACCCACACTCACACCCACACCCACACCCACACCCACCTCCACACACCCACACCCACACCCACACCCACACTTACACCCACACTTACACCCACCCTCCACCCTCCAATCCCCACCCACACCCCACACCCACACCCACACCCCCACACCCACACCCCCACACCCCACACCCACACCCACACTTCACACCTACACCTCTACCTACACCTACACCTACACCTACACCTACACCTACACTTACACCTACACCTCTACCTACACTTACACCTATACCTGCACCTCTACCTACACCTACACCTACACCTACACTTACACCTACACCTCTACCTACACTTACACCTATACCTGCACCTCTACCTACACCTACACCTACACAAAGACAAATATCTCACTGATGTAACACCACTCAATATCTGCTCCACAAACACCTAATCTTTTCATCTTTTCGCCCATTGTCTCTATGATACTCCCAGCCACGCTTACATGACCCGGGATTATTATTTCACTGTCCGTTCGAGGGTAAATAGTTTGTAGTATGAACTAACTCTCTGTAAAAATAAATCTAATAGTGTTTTCGATATATTTTTTTATTTATTTATTATTATTATTATTATTATTATTATTATTATTATTATTATTATTTTTTTTTTTTTTTTTTTTTGTGGGGGGGAGAGTGTTTGTGTGTGTGTTTTGAAAGTGTTACTTTTTGGTAAGGCTGAAGATGGCTCTCTCTCTCCATGGTGCCCCACAAGCAAGGGCAAGTAGTAATTTTTTAAACAAGAATCAGTAAGACTCAAGACTCACGCACCGCAAGAGGCTTAACACCCTTCACTACGAGGCCACCCGCTTGAGTACGAGACCAATCTCTTGAGTACGAGGCCAGTCCTTTGAGTACAGGAAGTTGGCCTATTTATTACATTAATTTAACTCCCTGGATTACAATAATTTAACCCCTTGAGTACAATGTCTTAACCCTTTGACTATGATGACTTAACCCTTTGGATATAATGGTTTAACCCTTTGACGCTCAGCAAATTTTCTGTCGATAAAGAGAAGAAGAGAATGAGGAATAGACAGAGAAATAAAGAAAATAAGGAATAAAACAGTAGACGAAGAGAAACAGAGTAAACCGAAATATAGAGAGAGAATAAGGAATAAACCGAAATATAGAGAGAGAATAAGGAATAAACCACGAAGAGAAGAGAAAAGGCAATAAACCAGATGATAAACCTAATCACTACTAATTACTAAAACACCAACTTGACTCAGAACAGATTGAGTTGTTAAAGGTAATTACAGTTAATCACAACATTACCAGATGAGGGAACAGGTGAAGGTTGTTATAATAACTTTTAAGGTCAAAGATTGTTTATAACTCACCTAATAACTCCATAACTAACTTTATAAACAAGGTATGGTTGTGGTTGTAGTTATTTTTTTATATTATATTTCCCTCTTAAAAATAAATATCACTATAACACACAGGCCAAGAAAAAAAATATCTTAACGGGTTTGGGTTTGGTAATGTGACGCAATGGTAGAAAGATTTTGACGACCCAACAGAGATAATAAGAGTGGCAGTGTTCATTTTGTAATTCTTCGACCCTCTAAGGTGAAGAAATTTTTAGTTATTATTATTTTTTTTTTTTTGAAGTATGTTACATCCATCAGTCAGGTCAGTAAGGAAATGAATGCCCTATAGATAGTTAGGGACCTTATGATAGATAGACATTCGGCATTATCATTACAGGCTAAACTGTATGTAATTTAAAATCAGTCCATTTATAAACTGTTTTGACTGTCATCCTAGACCCTTTAGACTGTTTTGACTGTTACCCTACCCCCTCAGACCCCACTAACAGTCTCTTCCTGTCATCTTACAGTCTGTGGCGACGTACTACGGAGAGAGCGAGAGCCTGGAGTTCACTGGTAACATCTCGTGGCCAGGAGGAAGACCGCCCAGGGACCAGCCCGTGTGTGGCTTCGACATGTCTCTGTGTCCCGAGACTCACGGTGAGTACTGGGGGTGGGGGGGGGGGTTAGGTTAGGTTAGGTTAGGGGCGATGGTTATATATCAAAGGTACTCAAACTATCCAACCAGGAGCGAACTCGTAGCAATGGTTTTAAATTAGACAAATTTATATTTAGGCGCAAAATAGGTAAACATTGGTTTGGAAACAGAGTAGTGGATGAGTGGAACAAGTTACCAAACATCATAATTAACTCGAATACGCTGGATAGCTTCAAACACAGGTTGGATGGATATATGAGCGATAGGGGTTGGGTGTAAACGGGACTGCCCAGTATGGACCAATAGGCCCGCTGCTGTTCCCTCCATTCTTGTGTTCTTATGTTAGGTTAGGTTAGGTTAGGTTAGGTTAGGTTAGGTAGATATTATAATTGGGCCTTAATAGTAATAGCACCTCATAGGATCCATTGATCACCTCTGAACTTAAGAATCCTGAAGACTCAGGGCTGTGTACTCTCTCTCTCTCTCTCTCTCTCTCTCTCTCTCTCTCTCTCTACCCCACTCTTCTCGCTCCCCTGCTCTACCTTGCATCCTTCCACTCACCACTTTCCTCTACCTCTGCCACTTTCCCTTGCCCTCTCACCACTCACACCACTCTCACCACACTCACCAATACCCGCTTGTTATCTCTCTCAGGCCCCTGGAGCATCGTGGCCGGCCTGCTGGCGCTGCTGGTGGTGGTGATGGCCGTGGGTAGTGTCTTCATCTACAGGTGAGTGTTGACGTGTACAGGTAAGGACAGGTGAGATCGTCTTCATCTACAGGTGAGTGTTGACGTGTACAGGTGAGGACAGGTGAGATCGTCTTCATCTACAGGTGAGTGTTGACGTGTACAGGTGAGGACAGGTGAGATCGTCTTCATCTACAGGTGAGTGTTGACGTGTACAGGTAAGGACAGGTAATAGACATAAATTCTAGTATAAAGTAGGTAATTATTCTCGCCTTCAATCTAACAAAGATAACTATAAGAACTGTCTGTTATGTTAATTAGGTTGTGAAGAAACGTATCCCTCACACGGTAAACAAAACACCTATCAGCCAAGTCAGGTATGGAGGTGTAATGAGCTAATTAAACACAGGTAAAATCAAGTATTTCATTTGTTTATGTCTCTTGTTCTTGTACCTGTGTCCGTCCGTGTGTACATTAGGAGGACAAGAGGGAAGAGGAGGAGAGGGAAGAGGAGGAGAGGGAGGAGGAGGAGAGGGAAGAGGAGGAAGGAGAGAAGGAAGAGGAAGAGTACTGTAGATATGTCAGGTGTGTTTGATAGTGTTTTGACCTCTGAACCTATCCCAGCCATCTATACAAGGTCACGGAGGTCAGGACGTGCTTGGATGATATATAGATTAATAAACGTGTTGAGTGTGTGTGTGTGTGTGTGTGTGCCATGTCATTAATGCTGCCTCGTCATGGTAGCTGCAAAAAAAAACTGAAACATTAATTTACTCTTTATGTAAAAAAAAAAATTAATAATGAATAAAACACAAGTGAAAAAAAATAAAACGAGCAGGTGATTAAAACTCAAATGAAAGATAACATAGTACTCATGGGAGATAACATAGTACTCATGGGAGATAACACAGTACTCATGAGAGATAACATTAACAACTAACACGTAACGAAATTAAAAAAAAAAAAATCGAGGAAATAAAAAAATAAACCGGACTTTAGAGGATCATTCTGTTTACATTTTCCAATTAAAAAACAAAACATCAAACGCTTCTCATTTAAGTAATATAAAAAAAACCCACTGGATTCTGTAGTTACATAAATCCACATAAATCCGTAGATGACAGCCCGGCGTGAGTCATCAGTCAGGTGGGCTCGTGTGCCGACCATTACACAATTTTCTATTCGCTGTTATTAATCGCGTATTCATGGCCGGAAATTAGTTGGGCAGCTATTAACGTAAAAGACTTGGTAATTACAGTCATCAGAGAGTAATTACCTACATCATGATGAGATAATTTTTTTTTTGTCCGGTTTAAATGACTCTGTTGAAGCCTTGGGTTTAATGTTGAAGCTTCGGGTTTAATGTTGAAGCCTTGGGTTTAATGTTGAAGCTTCGGGTTTAATGTTGAAGCCTTGGGTTTAATGTTGAAGCCTCGGTCTCATAATAAAGCACACACACACGTTGTACCCTTTACAGATTATTGCTTGCGTTTAATCGGCCCTGCTTATGCCTTTCCTTACCTGACTGTTGCATGTCTTCGCGCGTGAACGATGTTTATATTTCACTTACGACATAACACAATTCATAATAAACTCTCTATGTCTCTTATTGTCAAATGTTCCGTTGTAGAAGCTGAACTAAAGGGTCCTGACGAGAGCTTAAGAGTCTATGAGTTTATGTCCCGTGACCGATGAGTAAGCTCTTAATTTAAGCTGCATTTCAAAGGCAAAAATTACAGGTAACTCGTATATTTATATTGTATTTTTTATTTTCCAATACAACGTTATAAGTACGGATTATATTTCACCATCATTTATTATATCTCTGATCTGTATATAACCTGTATTGTATAATTTTAGCGATCATATATAAATTATTTTTCTCAATTATATGCTATTTACTGTTATATTACAAGATTTATGTTGTTTTCTGATGATAGGTATTATAAAACAGTCTTTATTTAACATGGTAACGAGTAATAACTAACAATATGTGCCGGGTATCGTGGAGGGATTATTGTAACTTATTTTTTTAGTTTCCCTTAAAAGTATTATAGTGTTCGTTTTCTCTTGACCGTGTAGGACTTAATAGAGAAAATGGAGGCGTCAGTATTAGCGGTAACAATATAAAAACGTTACAAAAAAGTCTACTGTATCTATTCGTTTCTCTTAATAATTTATTTTATTTTATTTTTGATATTTATTTAATTTTATTACTGTGAGATTGAATGAACTGTAGGAATACGGCACTAAATCATCTATGAAACACAACACGATTAAAAATTATCTAAACTAACTAGCCAAAATAAAATTCAGATATAATTTAGGGTTTAAGTTAGGTTTAAGTTAATTTAGTACAAGTTATTTTTCATAATTGATTTAGCGTCATAGTCTCTTTAGTTCCATACTGTCAACAGCTATCAATGCCTTACTCAAGTGCGTCTTTTTAATTACTCCAGTAGACTTTATTAACCTCAAATTCTTACTTCCGTTAATGGAAATCAACTCTAGAGAATGTAAGGAATATTTGGGGAAGATATTTCCTTTGTTTAAACTGTCACCAAATGGTTTTTACGCAATAATAGTGAAATTAGCCTCTTAATACAGTGATTCGTTATGTATATGATTTAGCATAGTGTAATAAGTAAAATAATGCAACTGAAGTTAATTTATAATGTTTATTCATAATTTCTTGATCAGTTTTAACTTATTTCAACAGTGTCAAGATTGTGTTCATGAGCCTTGAGTACAATGATACTTCCAAGTACGATGACTTAACTCTTATTATAATGTCTTAACCCCATAAATACGATGACTTATTCCCTTTAAGTACGATGACATTATACCCAAGGGGTTAATAATGATGATGTGGTGTTACATCATGTTGTCCTCCACCTCAGGCACTACAAGCTGGAGGCTGACCTGGCCTCCATGACGTGGAGGATCTCCTGGGAGGACGTGGAGATCACAGAGAAGACCAAGAGAGGAAAGTGTGGCTCCAAGATCTCCATCGGCAAGATGAGTGTCAATGTAAGTCTCCATTTTGTGTTGATGACGTCACTTATTGCGATGACGCCAATAGCTATTACTGATAACGTCACTTGTTTTCGTGATGATGCCATTGACTAATTGCTGATGACGTCAAGCTTTGGTACTGGTGATGTCACAGTCCATTTTAAGGAGTGAATAATATGAGAGAAGAAACAATAATCTCAGCTAATAATTTAATGAATAATTTTGCATTCCAGACCTACACCTCAGTGGACTCCCTGGTAGACAATCGGCAGGTGTTTATTCGAACCGCCACTGCAAGTGGACCCACCCACACTCTCCCACCCCTACCCCACCCACCCCACCCCACCCCACACACACCCACCTACCCTCCCCTGCCTACCCTACCCTACCCTATGATGCCCAGAAAAAGCCCTTAACTCTCAACCAAACCCCTTAACTCTCAACCAAACCCCTTAACTCTCAACCAAACCCCTTAACTCTCAACCAAACCCCTTAACTCTCAACCAAACCCCTTAACTCTCAACCAAACCCCTTAACTCTCAACCAAACCCCTTAACTTTAAACCTATGCCTTAAGTTATAGATCTTCCTATAACCCTTTGAGTTTTATGCTTATTATAATCAGTTAAAGAGTCAGTTCTTTTACGTAGAGTTTAATATTAGTTCACGTTTTTATTGTATTACAGATTGGTAGTGATTTATGACGAGGTTTTGTATTTTTTTTTGTAATTTTGTAGTTTTTTATGATAATTTTGTAGTTTTTATGATAATTTTGTAGTTTTTTATGATAATTTTGTAGGATAATTTTGTATTTTTTTTTGTAATTTTGTAGTTTTTATGATAATTTTGTAGTTTTTTATGATAAATTTGTAGTTTTTTATGATAATTTTGTAGTTTTTTATGATAATTTTGTAGTTTTTATTATAATTTCGTAGTTTTTATGATTATTTTGTATTTTTTTTGATAATTTTGTATTTTTTATAATTTTGTAATGTTTTATGATAAGTTTTTAGTTTTTAATAATGTATTTTTATGATAATTTTGTAGTTTTAAGATTTGTTTATGTTTGTTTATGATAATTTTGTAGTTTTTATGATAATTTTGTAGTTTTTATGATTATATTGTAGCTGTGATTTTTTATGACAATTTTGTTGAGTCTTGGTGCTATTTTTTTAAGGAGAATTTGAACGATATATAAAGGCAGTTTTAAAGAATTTTCGTCTGCTTATGTACTTGAGACCCGTCGTGTGTGTGTGTGTGTGTGTGTGTGTGTGTGTGTGTGTGTGTGTTATGTTGGGCGCCACGAATAGTTGCATCTCTTGGGTCTTTATAAATGGGTCCCAGTGGCCTGAAGGACCATGAGAGACAGGGACCACCAAGCACACTGAGACCTTGGTACACAATATATATGGCCGGCACTGCACTCGACTGCCTTCACTTCCCCAACTTAAAAGTCAGGTCCTTGTAATCAAGTTTGGCGCCGCGGAGACGAACCAACAAACCCTTAGAACAGGAGTTGACTGGTGTCTCCTCTCAGCCACTGTTGATAGTTGATGTTAAATTTTGGTGTTACTTGACTTTTAGATTTTTTCCACCATGATCGATATTTATTTTTTATTTTTTCAAAGTTCAAAAGCAAAAGCGAAACGAATTGCTAGTAATTAGTATTTATAGCTGGGGCAGGGGCTGCGTGTGTACAGCAAGATGGACCCAGAGAGAAATTCTTGGAGTGTGTGTGTGTGTGTGTGTGTGTGTGTATATCAAGCAGTGGATTACAACGTGAAAGGTGTTTATATTGTTTGTTTACAGGAACTAACATGTTAATAAAATCCACAACAATATATTAAAAACCAAATAAAATAACTGGTAAATATTTAACCCAGATTATGGGTCTCTGAAGAAAAAAAAAATTACCTGAACATTTTCTTAACTTCTCTGACTGAGGGAGTAAATTTTACCAACATATCTTTCAGGTAAATAATATAAATATATCTAGATTATGTATAACACAACTAGCAAGTCATTGTATACTATTCAACCAAACCCTTGAGGTGAATAAGATCGTCTGACGTTAATAAGATCGTCTGGCGTTAATAAGATCGTCTGGCGTTAATAAGATCGTCTGGCGTTAACCGGAGATGTAAGTGGAGGTAGAGTAACTAGAAGAGAAAGAACCACACAACTACACCCCAGCCCAGACTGTTACACTGTGATATAACAAGGTAGAGGAAATGGCACTCAACTGGGGGTGTGTTGGTGGAGGACCGTGCGGGTAGACACGTATTCAGTTAACCCTGTGAGTTGTCCCTGACGTAGACACTGCCTCAACCTGACGTCACAATATGCACGTGTGGTTTGTTGACATCTTTTGTTATTGGGGCGTTATGGGGGACGTTATGGGGGACGTTATTGGGACGTTATGTGGCCGTTAAGGGACCATAGTTCTCTTCACCTCTGACAGCCATTATGCATACCAGTGTGGAGGCCATTCACCTGTTGTACCTTTAATTCACAATACAATTAAGGATTTTACCTGATATACATTGAAGATATAAAACAGTGAACGTGTCTTGGCTAGTGTGTGTGTGTGTGTGTGTGTGTGTGTGTGTGTGTGTGTGTGTGTGTGTGTGTGTGTGTGTGTCACTGATTCACTCCCGGTTAAAGGAATCACGTTATTATCTGTGACTGCAAGAACCTTCATTCTCACTCACTCACTGGGGGCGCTAAGAAACACCAAGCTCACCTGAACCTCACACACCTGAACCTCACACACCTGAACCTCACACACCTGAACCTCACACACCTGAACCTCACACACCTGAACCTCACACACCTGAACCTCACACACCTGAACCTCACACACCTATAACATCTGGCCACCTTGATATATATATATACACTTGACTCCACATACATATAATCGTGTCAGAATACTGTATATTATAGCATTATTTTGCCTCCATAGTATTATATATTGTTATAGCTGCCGTGTATAGATAGATAGATAGATAGATAGATAGATAGACTCAGTAGAGGCCATCCTCCTTCCTCCGTTCCTCCCCCCCCATTGTTTGGCAGGGAGGGAAGGCGGAGTCTGAGGTGTTATGACGTCACGGCGTGTATGACATCACGGGGTGTTATGACGTCACGAGGTTCCCCGGATGGATTGTTGACACCTTGCTTCCTCTGTCATTGTCTCTCTTCCTCAATGTGGGTAGACAATACAGGTAAACAATGTGGGTAGACAATATAGGTACATAAACAATTAACTGCATTTATTTTCTTATATATATTGTTTGTTGATTAAATTATAGGTATCTATAGATAGAGTTTGTTTGTTTTCGAGGTAGATAGAGTTTGTTTGTGTTTGAGATAGATAGAGTTTGTGTGTGTTTGAGATAGATAGAGTTTGTGTGTGTTTGAGATAGATAGAGTTTGTTTGTTTTTGAGATAGATAGAGTTTGTTTGTTTTTGAGATAGATAGAGTTTGTTTGTGTTTGAGATAGAGTTTGTTTGTGTTTGAGATAGATAGAGTTTGTGTGTGTTTGAGATAGATAGAGTTTGTTTGTTTTTGAGATAGATAGAGTTTGTGTGTGTTTGAGATAGATAGAGTTTGTTTGTTTTTGAGATAGATAGAGTTTGTGTGTGTTTTGGGTAAGTCTTATGCGTCGTGTGGTGGGAGTCTCCAGCTGTGGTCTCAAAACTCATGATTACTTATTGTCATTATAACATTAATGACCTTAACAATAAAGACAATTCAGAGGTGTGGTGTGGTGTGGTGTGTGGTGTGGTGTGGTGTGGTGTGGGTGTGGTGTGGTGTGGTTGTGGTGTGGTGTGGTGTGGTGTGGTGGTGTGGTGTGGTGTCAGGTGTGGTGTGGTGTGGTGTGGTGTGGTGTGGTGTGGTGTGGTGTGGTGTGGTGTAGTGTGGTGTAGTGTGGTGTGGTGTGGTGTGGTGTGGTGTGGTGTGGTGTGGTGTGGTGTAGTGTGGTGTGGTGTGGTGTGGTGTGGTGTAGTGTAGTGTAGTGTGGTGTGGTGTGGTGTGGTGTGGTGTAGTGTAGTGTAGTGTAGTGTGGTGTGGATGTTAAACTCACAGCCTGTCCTGACCTTGATCCACCTCATGTACTAGATTAATGCCGGATATTACCCTAAAGTGTCCAGAGAATTGTGTTCGTAATTGTAAGTTTCCAAGGACGGCATTTTTTGGGGGGGTGAATCGACTTTTTGGTTCTGGTGTCGGTGTCATTGATGTTTCTCGACCAATTCCTTAGATATTGGTTTTTATTATTGTTATTATTGTTTGTGTTTGGGTCAAGACCAGAAATTTCCCACCATTGGTTTGTTGTTGTTGTTGTGTGTGTGTGTGTGTGTGTGTGTGTGTGTGTGTGTGTGTGTCACGTAGTGTCTTTGGAAGCCACGGGGTCTGACAGATGACCCAGCAGGGGATGCAGCCTTCACTTCCTCCTCCCACCGCCACACACACACACACACACACACACACACATAGTCTTCTTCCTCTAGTGTGTGTTCGCCTCAGGACTAAACAAGGCACTAAAGAGATAACACTTGACATTTCTACACATCTTCTACACCTGACCACTGACCCACTGCCTCTGTAAACCGTGACAGGATGACGAATAGCAATGTGAAGGTTAGGTTAGGTTTGGTTAGGTTAGGTTAGGTTAGGTTACGTTAGGTTTGGTTAGGTTACGTTAGGTTAGGTTAGGTTAGGTTAGGTTAGGTTTGGTTAGGTTACGTTAGGTTGTATTAGCTTTCCTCAATCACATTTCCAATCACAACAAACCAAAATAACCCCCCCACAATGTCTCTTCACCTCATCAGTAATATACTTCAAGAATTTAAACTACCAGTCTGATATATATATCCTTCAAGTCAGACATATATTTCACGTACGGATTATTATACTCCCAAAAAATATATTCATCTCTTTTATCAATTTTGTTTATTTCCAGATCAGAGGCCTATGTGAAGAGAGGGTACACCACACAGTTTGTTTACGTATTACAGCTGTTTGTTTAATATTTGTTTATGTCTGAACAGCTGATTATGCCTCACTCACGCTTTAACATTATAATGGAACTTGTCTCATTGGATGCTTCGCTGCTTCAGGATATTATTAACTCTTTGTGCTTCATTCGTGATTTCAGATACTTGTTTCAGTAATATGTTGTCGTGTTGTTGCTTCGAACATTGCTTCAAAATCTATTATGTCTCTAACCTTAACCTAATCAAACATAACCTTAACCTAACCTAACCAAACCAAACCTAACCTAACC